GAGAGTCGAAGCGCTGCAACGGGAGGCCAGATGAAAGGGTGCAAAAGCCGAGGTTCGTGCGATGATGCGAAGGCGCCGGGCTGCGGGACAGCATGCTAAGCAGCCTTCGGCGGCGTTGAGAGGAGAAGAGAGAGAGAGAGAGAGAGAGAAATGGAGTGAAGCTATACCTGTACCTGACCAGAAGGGAGCAGAGGAAGGAGGCACAAAGCTGTAGCCGGCAGGAGTTACGAGAGAGAGGCCGCAGAGCAATGGAGCTATGGCGGGGTGGGGCGGGGGGGGGGGGGGGGGGGGGGGGGGGGGGGGGGTCGAAGAGAGGGGGGGAGGGGGGAAGTAAGAGGGTGGCAGAAGGAAAGAGAAGCAAAGGAGATAAATGAAACATGTTTTCAAAACACTCCAAACCTGGATTTTTCTATTTCAAATGCATGTTTGGTAGAAACTAGTGCATGCCCTTCGCCGTATTTACTCTCTTTTTATCCCATGCACAGACTTCAGCCAGTCATCGACTGTTCAACTCAAATAGGAACCCAAATGCTTAACGTTGTGCTGTTCTGTAAGTGTGCTGGTGATTCCTTGTCGTTTTGCCTGATTTCAGCCCTTAAGCCCATAAGCGGAGTGAAATCAAATTGTCCTCAACGCCCACCAGAAGACATCCGGAAGGTGTTATAATTGAAAACCTCAAGGAAAAGTAGTGCAGGTAGGTTTAGTTCCCGAATACACAGATCCAGAACATCGGGGGCTGAAGGGGTAAAATGAAGTTCAAAGGCTGATCCCCCCTGAGCCCTTGTTGCTGCAGTTCATCCGGCTTTTATACTCGATTTATTGTACAATGCCCGACAATCTGTGGGTCCGCTTCTCTTTTAAAGGTCACGAGAACCATTGTTAGACTATAATCGTTTTTGAAATGCCACAGGATTACAAAATACCGGACTTGGAAGTCAGTTAGAAATGTTCAATCGGACCAATTTTGAGTCAAATAAATACACCTGTATCTTGGTTAGGAACGTTTCTCATTTAAATCAAAGAATTTTAACGCATTTGTGATTGAAGTACTACACAATTGGTGAAAAAAAACTTGATAAAAATCTATAGAAACTTCAAGTTGGTTAATGACAAACTCATTAAATATAATTTCCATTGACAAAGGAGCTGATGGAGAGTAATGTACATACAGGTAACCAATTTCAGGAGCATAATCTTCAACAACTTTATTGCCTTCCTGCATCATGTAGTCTTGTTACAGCAACTCAATTTTCTCTAGCAGAAAAACAAATTACAAACCACATGAACTTCCTGATAATTTGGGGTGGGATATAACATGATAATTACAAATTATTATTATTATTTTTTATTTTTTTTTTACATACAAAAGTCCTGAGCCAGAACTTTTGCATTGAGTCTCTGGTACGCCCTTGAATCTGACGCACAAGCGAGATCTGCTTCTCTTGACCCACTTTTCGTTGATTTTTCCTTCAGTAAAAGATCTGATGAGATGCTTGTTGTCAAAAACGAAGTTGGCCAATCACAGAAGTTATCCAAGACTACAATACAATCTCAAAACAAAAACTTTCGCTTCAGTGCAGACGTGCCCCATGCTGATGTCAGCGTCTGCAGAAGTTACATAAATGATCAGGTGTTCATTTAACACTTGAAGGCTAACTGGGTACAAAAGAACTTTGGCCTAATCTGATGGCTGTATAAAATTTAAAAAGCAAATTAAAAGCAGATATTATTTATTCAACAATTTAGCAGCAAAATAGAAACATCAGGCTACTGGTCACTAGGGATGAAACAACACAAATCCAAAGCAGTTCAGCACCACGGAGAGCGATCTGATCATTTTATCAAGAGTCTGGAGCAGCTAGCAAACTGCTGAAGGTAGGTTTATTGTTGACGCGTTGAACCAGGTATGCAGCAAGTGGATACACAGCGGCACGTTTGTAATTTGCTTGTAATTTTGTGTGTCATAAAGTTAAATATAAGAGTGAAAATAAAGCCAATCATGTAGCACAACATTCTATTCAATATTTTACACCCGTCAGTCGGTCTTGTAAAGTATTTAGCAACCATGAGGTCCATGGCCCTCCCACAAACCCCTGAAGCTCCGCCCCTGTACCTTGCTAAAGTCTATACAGCCAAGCTTTGCCTACGTGAAACTGTAATTCCCAGTGCGGCAAGTAAATGCCCCAACTTTGTGAAAAATGTTCCACTTTGAACAATGCAATAGGAGAGTTAACCGGCCCAAGTTATTGATATGCTGTAAGGAGAGCAGGGCTCTAGTGGTTTTTAAAATGAATTCTAATCAAGGCGCTTAGAGACAGCTCAGCAAGCGCTGATGGTGTCGGGGTGCGAGCGATATGAAGAGGGATCGCACAGCCGCCGAGACGCCGGGTGAATTTCACATGCTTTATTTTTGAACAATCTGATTTGTGTGACTGCTGAGAATCAGTACACACACACACACACACACACACACACACACACACACACACACACGCACGCAGCGCATCATTTCGTGGGAGAGAGAGAGGGAAAGTGAAGATGAGTGTAAGAATCCAATCATGAGCCAAGAGTGCCCACACAGACTGCGAGCTGAAGCCGCTCCATGGCGTCCTGTTTGTTTATGTTCTAAGTTAACACTGGCGGTGTCGCGTTATCAATCAGCTGTCACACGACAAAAGCCGTCCAAAGAGCGCGGGAGAAAGCACGAGCGTTAATTAGGAAGCACTCCAGCGGCGCTCTGGGAATGACGGCAATCATAAACAGAAGTCATTTAAATGTGAAAGCGAGGAAATGAATTCTGCGCTCCAGGAGTGGAGAAGGGAGGGGGAGGAAGGGCTCGCCTTGTAAAGACGGAGGACTTCGGCAGAACAAAACAAAACAAATTTCGACCGGAGCGGCCTCGACTTGAAGCTTTGAAGCCGAGATTGAACCGCGAGAACGGAGAAACCCAGCAGCCTCGCGCAATCTGTTCGCATTTCCGACGCGCCCCTGAACGCGACCGGCGGCGAGCGCGCAGCGGCACGTGGGCTTCAGATGCAATCTTATTTACCGCTCGTTGTGATGTCAGAGTTTTCATTACCCACTGATGGGCGGCTCACACAACGGGTTTGATGGCGTTTCTCAGCTTGTGCGCCGTGAACATGGAAACAGCAGGCTTTGAAAAGGCAAGCTGCTTCCTGTTCGTCAGTTAACTGGTAGCAATTCTTCCCTTTTTTTCCCCAACCCAGAAACATTCATCCAAGCTAATGAGACAGAAAATAAAAGCGATTGAAACGGAAAAGCGTCCCGAAAACGTCGCTCCTCGCGTTTCCGCGCCACGAGAACCTCCTTTTTTATTTCGTCTTATAATCACTCCTGAGGTGAAAGTCTGAGGATGCATTCGCCTCTAAACATGATCTCATTAAAATGCTGCGTTCAAGCTCACACGCCAGCTACACCTGTTAACTTCCACATCAGCGACGGTGTCTCCTTTCATTCAGCTCGGATAAATAAAAGCCGGATGCTCAGAGAAAATCGGGGTTAGCCGCAGTAATGACACAGACGCAGAGTTGCGGCGGCTGAATGCATAAATAATCAACAGCGTTTTTTTTGTGCGTCGGTACAGTTTGAAGCGTCTGAAGTGCTCGCTTTTGTTCGGAGGCGATGCTGGGTTCGTTCGCGAAAGGAACAAGCGTTTCTTTCTTGTGAAGGTGGAAAGGCAAAAGGAAATCCAGCTCCTGAAATCATCAGCTCAGCCGCTGACAGACAGAACACAACAACCTTCAGTGATGCTGACAGTCTCTGGGCTGCTTGACGGAGTAAAACTGTGTTTGTAGAAACATCAGACGGTTCATGAACTTTACAAACACCCCTGTCAGTGCTTTATACAGAGTCTTGCAAAAAATAAAAATAAAAAAATAAATCAATACCCAGGAGCTCAGAGCTTATTCACATTGTGTTACTTTGCGACGTTCAAACACTTCACTATACTTTAACGGGATCAGCAGAAAGTAGTGGATGATTCAGCTATGCTAGTGGTGAAGTGGACAGTTACAACTAAAAATATATTTTTTTTAAAAAAAGAGGGGCGTCCACTGGTGCTCAGCTCGCTTTAGTTGGATGCCGTTAAATAAAATCCAGAGCACCCAGTGAGGGGTGAAAGTTTTACGGTGCATTCACACCAGCCATGTTTAGTCCAGTTTCAGCAAACTCCGGTTCGTCTGTTTAGAAAGTCCGGTTCGTTTGAAGAGGTGTGAATGCACAATCGAACTCTGAAGCCAACTCAGGTCTAAGTCTCGGTTCGGTTGAAGTGAGCTCTGGCACGTTTCAAATGCATATATGAATGCCAAGTCACTCCAAAAGTCACCGTAGCGCAGGGCATTCTGGGTAAATGGAAGCACAATGTGTGTGCATGTCTAGCGCAAGCGGCAGAAATGGTCGGCAGTCTTTTGCTGAAGACAACAGAGAAATCTTGCAGTTGCTAATGTCTGATGCCCCTGCATTGTGTGAAGACGTTACGCTCAGTGTCTTCTTTTGTGGTTTTCTTGTCGTCTCCTTCAGTGGTTCTTGGTGTAGTGCCCCCACAGGCAACGAGGTGAACAGGTATTTCAATTAGTTTGGCTCATTTGAAACAACGTGACATTGAACCGCAGCAGCTGAAAATGTAGCAGACGTCGCAATTGAACTGGAACTGATCAGATGTGAAAACATCGTTAGTTTATGGCTGACTAGAGCCGGGAGAGACTTGGCTCAGCAGAGGAGCTATATACAAATATACACAACTCTATGCTGCATTGGTCTCTCACATCAACTTCTAATAAAATACACTGACGTCTGTGGCTGCAATGTGACAAAATGTGAAAAAGCTCAAGGGGTATAAATACCAAAGCACAGTCAAGATACACAAAGACTAAACAATATGATAGATTTAAGTAGTTGCACATATCAAATGATTATGGATTAGATATTTACTCTTCGAGTCCGGTTATGAATGTTAATTTATTGAGATTATCCTGTTCCCATGGAACTCTAATTGATGTGATCTTCAGTAATCAGCCAGGGAGTGTTATCAAATCTAATACCATGCTCGGGGAATTCTCCCACCGCCGTCTGACAGCGAGTCAAAACCGATTAACATCACAGGAGGCTGAGCTGCCGGTAACGGCGAATCACTGTGCAGCTCTTTAAAAGCCGCCAAGGCGTTCCCATCTGAATTAAGGCAGCGCGTTTAGGAGGCAGCGCTTTCGCCTGGGTAAGTGTTTTAACTTCTTTTTTCCCCCCCACCTTCGTCACCTGGCTTTGGTGCCAGGCGATTAAAGGTATCCTTGGTGTTTATTCTTTCCCACAAGAAAATATATGAATATAAACATAACATGGTCCGTTCCAGTTTTAATGAGAATCACGATAAAGCGTCAAAAGTCACAATGATCAGTGAAATAGTGTGTTTTTGTAATTTTCTAATCATAAGTTAAAGACGTGGAGATACAAAGACAAACCTATACATGAAACAAGTTTTTTAGGTATATCAGGTATATCTTGAGTAAAAGTAAGCTGAAGATACACGAATACAATTTTCGGGTACTCTACCCACCTCTGCTGTCGGCACAACAAAACATCCTACAAAAAACCAGCAGGTTTTCGGCATACCATTTCTGATAATGAGCTATTCCACTGTCTTAAAAAAGACGAATGAAAATAAAACATAAAATAATATTCCCACACGTGAACCATCAGTCAGCTGGGTGTTACGGCTGAACTGATGGTGAAACTAGTTTGTAGCAGCTGGATCTTGTTACACCCTTTTTTAAAATAACTTTCATGTTAACGTCATAATACTGTGTAACGGTGGTAGTAGGGTTAATGCAAAGAGTATCACTGTTAGATATTTTTTGGTATTATCATTATTACTTTAGTTCATATTCAGTCTAATGTTAATCAGTATTATTGTGATTTTCTGTTTAAAGTGTTCTCTTCCTTATGTGTGTATAAACTGACCTGGAGGTTACAACTGTCTGTTTATCTTCATGTGAGACAGTTAACTCTGTGTTTCCCAGACCTTAATTCTTATCAACCAGAATACCTCCTAACTGCCTGTGAGCAGTCGTATTTTGTCTCTTGTTTATCCTCCCTCTTTGTTGACAGTTTGACCTAGAGCTGAACTGGGCTCAGATCGTAGATCAGATATCACACCTGGAACTGAGTTGCTGGTTTGTTTAGGTTAAATGTTTTACGACCTCTGTTGTTTTTTTTTCTGGCTGTTCTGCTTGACAATAAAACAGGGGCTCACGCGAAAGGAGATCAGAACTCTCTGTGAACGGCCTGGAGAGGTTGTTGATGGAGAGTTCTCCTTTTGCAAAAGCTTTGTCTATAAAATTCATATACGTTTTCTGTGGTCTTTTTATATAGGTTCGAAAAAAAGTACCTATCAATCACACTGGGTCATTTGTGTGTTGTACTCACTGTTGCTGCCTGATCTGTTGAAGCGGTGCACAGCCGCGTTCTCCGGTTCGCGGTAGGGGAACTGCAGGGTGGTGTCCAGACTCTTGAAGCCTTCTCTAAGGGAGTGGTGTTTGTAGTACTCGATCAGCTCCTGTATGCAGAAGAAGCACACAGTCGCATTTACATCAGCGTAAACAGAAGTAATTTACCCTTTTACTTTAGAAAATCCAGAGTCTACCATTAAAAAAAGAAAAGGTCTGTTCCCACATCTCTAATTAGAGCTAACTTGGTGCACATTGTTAGACTAAAACCAGTCGTTGACACTTCATTACATGAACAGTATGGCAACATTAATAAGAAACAGAAAAACAAAGTGAACAGAAGGAAAAGACTCACTAATATGCTCCTGAACTTCTTGTTCTCTGCAATGTAGTAGCAGCCCTCCTTGGTCAGGATCTTTATGTGCTTCACGTCGTTGTTGTACCTGTGGGCCATTGAATAAGTTATGAGTGTAATTTCCCTCTCTGATCACTGCCATCGATCGGTGGCCGGCCTGTGGCCCCTGGTGGAGAGCCTGGGCCGTCCCTCTAATGCACCGGGGTCCCCGAAGTTTGTGACACTGTGAGAGTGATGGGTGTCGGGTAAATACTTCCCCGAGTCGCATGCTTGTGTTTGCATCAACAGTCCGGCGGAATAGAAAGCTTTGTGCGCAAATAAAGGACATCGGTCATTCGCTGTGTTGCTTCGTAAGCAACGATGTCGACGGTTTGACTTTGTCCAGCAATTTTGTTGAAAAATCCAGGTGATTTAATCGGTGGACTGTATTAGAGGTGTTCCACCACATACTGTACTCTGTTCTCTCTCATAAACAGGATTCAATCCAGCCTAATGAACTGGGCTGACGTCCAACGTCTTGTAAACTCAGATCGACTCGCACGCGGTCTCAAAGGAAACAAGATCGAATTCTCAGCAACGATGACCGTCAACGACAATGTTGTGCGAAAACAGAACAAAAGCTCTGCCAGAAACAACCGGTTACAACCTCAGTTTCTTCACCACTTCCTGTAAGCCAATGAAAAATAATGCATCCACATTCAGGCAACAAGCGCAGCTAAAGTCCGTCCAACTGACCAAATATATGGTTGGCATTTAAAGTGCGAGTGTGTGACACTTTCAAGCGGTTTTTGGTGGAGGCGTATAGTTTCTATGTTTATCTAATATGGAAAAAAAATCTGTTGAAACACTGACTTCCTCTAAATCGAAGCTAAAAACACACCTGTTCAAATTTGCCTTTGATTAATAACAACTGGAATATTAGCCAATATATCTGATGTATTTGCTTGGTGATTTTGTAAAAGCAATGTTTATTGTTCGTTTCATAATTGCTTTTATGGTGTAAAAGGTGCCTTGCTGATAAAATGTGCTATGCAAATAAACCCGACTCTTTGCACACGCTGATATTACGATGGCAGTAAATCCAATTATAATGTGGCAGGACTTGAAGTTTTAGTTCAACATCAAATCAAATCTGAACTATTTTTGCAAATCTACACACCAAACAAGATTCATAGCTGGAATGGCACCAGAAGGTGGAAAGACGAAGCTCTAAAGACAGAGGTTCTACTATGAGATGACACGAGAACATCAGTATGCTTTTAATTAAAAACCACAGAGTCTGTTTCTGTGGCTGTTACGTCGAGCCGTGATGATTACGTTGGAGCTGAGCGAGGCGTCGGCATGCTGCTCTAACCGCAGGCTTGGCCTGGAGAACGGCGATCGCCACATTGCCCGTCGGATAAGGTGCAAATTAGTCTGTCAAGTTCTGCGGCGTGGATGAAAGCTGCAGCTGGTCAATACTGTGGTTTGGCTAAGTAAAAATAACAGTGCAGCCACGGAGATGCGGTCAACTAGCAGTGGGTAAAAGAAAAAAAAAAAAAAAAAGACGACAATAATCATCTTGGTCTTTGGAAAGACAGGTTGGCTCATCTGAACGTCGGCAGCGTTCCAGTTAACTCAGTGAAACGCAACAGAGATTAAACGGCGACAGACTCTCATGTTATCTGAATGCAGACTTACTTTATGCTGATGGCGTACTCTGTGAACTCTTTGCTGCGGTGGCGGACCAGATAGGTGCTGTTGACCCTGTTGATGAGTTCTGCTTCTGCCTGAAATCTCTCTATTGGACCTGCAAACCTACAGCAGTAAAACAGAAAAAGATTTTAATCGTTTACCTTTAGCTCAGTGGAGCTTTTCGCTGTCATTATCCAACATTCAATGCCTTGTAAAACTATTCCTACTGTTTTTACCTTTTTATATTTTGTCATGTGGAGATGACAAGCTAGTGTTGGTCATTCAGGATTTACGTACCAGCTTTGCACATTGTGTGTTTGGCAAAATAGCTCAAGCTTAGTCAGACTGAAAGTCGGGGCTAAAAAAAAGTCCAACTTGAAATTGTAATTGTGTTTTGAAGTCATAATTTCATATATTTAAGTCATCACTCTGAGTTTTCAAGTCATAGCTAGGAGAATAAACATCATAATTATGAGATTTAAAGTTATAAATGCAAGAAGAAAAGTCGTAGTTATAAGTTGAAGTCCATTACAAGTCTTTAAGTCATAAATAAGAAAAAATTGGAATTGCGGGTTTGAAAAGTTGTAATTTCAACTTTCTGACAAATGAACCGTTTTTTTTTTGTTGTTTTTTTTACCTAAACCATTAAATTGTGTCACTGTGTGACTTCTGTTGTAAATTCATTCTTCCATAAACAATAACTATTCTGTCAACAGATTCTCCAATCCACAATGCGAATGCATGCCACACTTTTCAGATTTTTACTTAAAAGGAAAAAAAAAAAAGGCTCTTCTTCATTACGATATGTCATGTAAAACCTTTTTAAAATGTGCTGAAGTTGTTGCCTATGTAACATAACCAAATGTGAACAAGTTCAATCATTTTGAACGGCAAATTCACAAAAGCCAAAGGAATCCCTCGTACCTCTGCATTTAAAAACGATTTTGTTCTCGGTCGCATAACGTATGAAAAAAGACTTTACATTTGAGCCTTCTAACAAACCCAAAGGACGGCAGCCGTTTGTGAACTCACCATAGCTGTGAGGAGTAATCGACAGGCTTCGGCACCTGCAGCAAGAGGGGAACAGCAGAGACGTGAGCCTGTGGCAGGTCAACACACACACACACACGCATGCATGCATGCACACGCACCCCTTTGCTCCCATAAAACGACATAGCTTGACGTCAGTTCTGTTTTCAAGTTGACTTGGTGCTGCTCCACAAGTAAAACTGCTCAATGCTCTCCTTATCTTTACGGCACTGAGATACGGCGATAAGACTGTTATCTGCAGCGGACCTCATGTTTCTGATGCAGCCTGAACTTCAGCAAATGGAAAGTAACAGTCCGTCTGTCTGTGGCATATGCAAAACAAGCAACTGCGAAGAAAGGTATAAATCTGAGATAAGTAAATCTTTACATTCACCAAAACTGTGTCTGAAAACTTGGTTTTGGTTTTTACAGCAATGTGAAAAAAATGAAGATATATTCACAAATTGATGTCTACTCTTGTGTTTTTTGTCTCCTGGAAAGAAAGTGACTTATTTAATTAACCTTGTTTTACTCATTAAACAAAAAAAACAGTCTAGCTGCACAAAAGCTAAACTTGTACAGTCTCTTTCTTTTTCATGATTACAGTAGCAAAAGCTTGTTGTGGGTCTCATATAAGCAAATCACAATAAGAAAATTTGCTGACCAATAAATCGTCTCAGAAATTATTGCGATAAACAATAGTATAGTTGTTATGAGACTATTTTCAAGTAATACTGATAATGGCATAATAATGCAAGTTTATTAGCCCTCTCATAGGCTAATAAGCTTAAAATGTGTACCTGAACTAAAAGACATTTTAAAATAACCAAAATAAAACAATAAACAAAACCAAAAATAGAATTGATCACGATGTCTCTCTAAACAAAGTCTCCCTTCAAAAAAGTGGAAGCTATCATTTTCATTTGTCATTAGTTTAATTGCTTATTGTGACAGGACTAGTCGATACTTGCAGCGATTCCCAATTGCTTCACATGACTGCATTTCATCACATAAAAGTAAAACATGCTAATCGTCCTCGAAACAGAAAAACCCAGTGGCCATCCCTCCCAGCAGCCCCTGGTATCTCCAGATTGTGGCCCGCTACGTGAATCGCTACTGGCAGGACTGGAAGTAAAAGCTGCTTACACAAGGACACGGCCGCACGGCGTCGCTTGGAAAGAAGCCAGCCTCTTTCGTCGACAGGATCCTGCCCTGAAAGCACGCAGAGATAATTGTGTTACATACATCTGGCCGGGTTGTGTCTCCATAACTCAAGAACAATTAGGCGGCAGCACAAATGTACAGCAGTGGTTAGATGTTGCTGGAATAACTCCTGACAGGAAGAGAGGAAGAGGATGAGTTTTTTTTTTTTTTTTTTAATTCCTCCCTTGGTGATAAAACTCAGAGTTCATCAACATGAAATTGTAATTGTGTTTTGAAGTCATAATTTCTTATTTGTAAGTCAGAACTATGAGTTTTCAAGTCATAATTAGGAGAATAAACATCATAATAAGATTTAAAGTTATAAATACAAGAATAAAAGTCTTAGTTATAAGTTGAGGTTGATTACAAGTTTTTAAACCTTCAAAAAGCTACATTTCTGGAAGGTCCTGGAATATTTCTGACTGAATTTTTGGCCACTCTTCTTGGCAGAGTTCATTTAAATAAGCTCGTTTCATGTCATGGACTTTGTTTTAAGTAAAATCAGCTACTTTTTAATTAAATTTAAGCCATTGAAGAGTAACGATGAGACACTTTATCCCTTTCAAAACCAGCTTAAAGCCTTTTTGGGATCATTGTCCAGATAGAACACCAAAGTTTTAAATAAAGATGTCAGACTCACATGAAAATAAATTCATAAACAACCCAGAAATTTGCCAAGTGACTGAAATAATAATAACTTGCTCCAAATTCTTCAGCTATGCCAGGTCTCAACATCTAGAGGGTTTACGTTTAGACACAAATGCTTTCAACAATGATGCCAAAGAAATATCAAAAAGTGAAAAAGCTGCTCCTGCAGCTGCAAACACTGAAAAAGAAAAACCAGCAGGGATTTTCTGTTTCACTGGATCACTGAAACTGCAGCCCAAGCAGGACCACTGGACCTGTGACCTGAAACTATTCATGCACGCTACTGAATAAAACCTACACATTTACTTTAGAGACCTTCCTTCCAGGAGTTCAGGAACGTTAAAGATTTTTCCTTTTCCTTTTAGACACACAAGCATGTGATCTTTGTCCTTTGCATATATTTTCCACACATCAGGTTTTTTTTGAGTTATAAAGAGAGCCTTAGTGTGCTTTTCTGTAAAAGCTGCAAAGCAATAAGGATGTTGGCAGCTGGAGCAGCAGCACATTAGAGATCTCTTTTCCCAACTAGATTTAGACATTTTAGGGATTTCTAGGTTTAGATAAGGAGCCTGAGGCAGCTTATATTTTGCACTCCAGGAACAAGTGTGTGTTTTTTTTTTTAAGGGACATTCCAGAAACATGCATGCTAAGCCCATTTGGTTGCCCTCCTTTTCCTATCTGTGCAACCTCAGGACATCTTATCAGCACAGCGGGAAGCTCTGCCGTCTTCTGCGCGCTTGCTCTGATAATGACTTCAGTCACAAGGCCTGTCAAAACAAACTCATAACTGCTGCTGAATAAAATCTAATTACACAAACCCTGGAAACAAAAACACCCAAAGTTTTTCCACATAATTAACTGATTTTTTTTTTGCAAAATGTAGTGAGATTTGCCAAGACTTCACAATATGATGCAATCCTAACCCGTGACAAAAAAAAAAAGCTACATTTTCAGCCATCAGGTAATGTAGTTATGACTCAGCCTGACTTCCATGTCCACGTGGGTTGGCGACTGCTGTGGTAGAAAATTCCCTGGAAGGAGCTTATCTTGCCAGTTCTAGAAAAGTTCAAACCTGATTCGCCTCCGCCTAACAGTAAGCGTGGACAATAAACAAACATATCCAGCGTCTGGGAATCCGACTTCCTGCTGAGAACTGTAGAGTAGTGTTTTTAATTGTCTGCTGGGGCAACAACTGTGCCTTGGAATGTCATTTGTATTTGCTGCTTGTTAGCAGAAAGTGTCAAAATGCTAGCGAGAAGAAGTGGAGCAATTCGTGCAGAGATGTCGTCACATTTTTATTGGGTTGAATTTATTTCAACCCAAGTGAACATATCTGTAACAGATTATATATGCCAGGCGCCCTGCGGGTTTCAAAAACTCAAATTTAAGGCTTTTTAAGATCTTTTTAATACCATTATGAATGGATTTTAAGGCCTGTAACATGACAGAAATCCACACACACAAGAAAAACATTGCAAATAAATAAATTGTATGGGTTGGCAACAAAGGTGATCCAGTAACAAAGACGAATGTCGTCCATCCAACTGTCGATACATTTGCATGTAAAAAAGCTAGCCAGCTAGCTAGCAAGAGTATAGACGCTTTCGCATGGAACGGTACGGAACGGAACGGTTCCGAGCGTGTTCGCATCACAACTTGCAACCGGTTCAACCCGGCCCCATGGAACCACAAGAGCTGTGGTTCCAATTGTGCCGGCCAAGCGGTTCTGCTTAGAACCAGCAGCTGATTGGCCGCTGGTTGTTAGTCAGACGTTGATTTTCCATTGACAGCTGGCTCTCACTACTATATAGTTTTAAAAATAATGACATCCGGCACCGCTTCAATGGCACCCTCAGAGTAATGCGAACACAACAGGGCTGGAACCATTCCGTAACGTAACGTTCCGTACCGTAACGTAACGTTCCGTTCCGTAACGTTCCGTTCCGTAACGTTCCGTGCAGTGCGAAAGCGCCTTATGATAGCAGCTGGTTTTAGCTATGTAGTCTGTAAATCAATCGGAACATTTTCTTTTCTACACTTGACAGTATTTCCTTTGTACTCATTATTATACCCTTGGTAGACAAATGTTATGATTGTATAACTGATGGAAAAAAAAATACATTTTTTAAAAACAAAAAATTAGCAGCTAGCTATAGCCGCAACCACCGTATATCACAGAGTGCGGTGAAGATATCAGGACTCAAACCTTTGCGTACCAGTAAAGTCCAGCGAGGAAAAACAGTAAACTACATAGAATATGCAAGATTAAATACTCCTGTCAGAGCACAATATGTAAGGCTTTCATTTTAAATATACGAGTTTAAGACTTTTTAAGGCTGTTTGGACCCCCTGGATGTAAAACACTGACAAACTCAAACTTTACAGAATGGTAAACACTATGTATTTTCAAATGAATTAGTATCTGGGGATAGTTAAAATGAGCAATCAGGAGATGAGAAAGATGTCTAACCTGCCACCAGGGGCTGTGTAGGTCGGCACATATTAACTCGATGATGTCTCCGGTCTGGATGGAGAGCGCCGGACCAGAGGCAGGACTCGGCACGCCAAAGTAGTTCCTGATGACCAGCATCTTGGGCAGACCTGTGAGACGAAGACAATTAGCCACTGTGTGGGATCAGCGAGTAGCAAGAGAAACACAAAGGCTTTGCTAAGTTTGACGCATGTAGATGGAAGAAATGTGCCTTGTTGGCTAATATTGCTTGAATAATACTTATAAAAACACTTTTGCTCATTTTTCTTTTTTTAACAGAAAAATGCTGGTGCTGACAGTTTAATGGTCTACACAAAGTTTATAGGTGAGCCCAAGCAGTCAAGTAATTATGAGCTAAGTTATTCATAAATCTGATCGGTTGGAGGAGCCACTTCAAGCATTTGACATGCTGAGGTGGGTAAAGATTTATCGGCGCAAAGCATGAGATTAAGAAATGTAATTTTGTTTTTCGTACCTAAAGACAGGTGAACAAAACAAGTCAATTAATTTAATTGAACTGAAATGTTGGTAACTTAAGATGTAATATTTAGGGTTTGGCCAGTGAGTCACATGACCAACCTTAATGGCCAATTAGTGACTCCACCAGTGAGATTGTTCTGAGTACAACTTATTAAGTCTGATGCTTCCAATCCATGTTCAAAACAGACACGTTTTAGAAAAGCAAAACACCTGTAAAAAAACAAGAGGAGGAGGAGTTGCCTTCTGTTTAAGTACTAAACCACCATGTGATTTTTCAATGTTTTAATATTGTGTGGCAAAAAAGGGGATTTTGAAACGTGACACTGCATATTTTTGTACTCCATCGAAACTACGAGATAAACTACTTGTTTATGTTTGTTGTTTGACGATTTCCCCAGATTTACTTTGCGTACATCTGACATATTTGCATACATATTATCTCCAGATAATTTTATTTGGGTTGAGGCTTTACATAAGCTCTTTAAGCTTTCTGTGCTACTTATTGCTAATTCTCTCCTCCCCCCCATTTCATTATGCCAACTAAAGCTAATCTAAAGTGGTGTGGCGGCGGTATTGGGGTATGTTTGCTTTGTTGAACTCTTCATGGCTTTCGAGGTAGATGTATACGACGGAAAGAAAGAACGAGTGTACCCGTGCACACACACACAGATGGTAACGCTCTTGTTTTTCAGTCTGCTGGTCTTACAAGTCAGGTGGACCTATGATTCATTTAAATATTAAAGATAAGACACAGTGCACCGTGTTGTTCTGCTTTCAGACAAAAAGATAAGTGGGAGTGAGCTTTGCTTTCCTGCTAACATCATGTTCCTGACTCCTTGCTGTGCAGTCTGAAAGAAAGTCCAATAAAAGTAATAATACAGTTTGTTCTATTTGCAATAGTGATTTTTGTTCAATTATAGAGTATTAGTGCCTCGTGCATTGAGTTAAAAGATTTGAAATATTTTAAAAAGCTTTATTAAAATAGTTTTTCTTCACTTTGAATTACATTAGTAAAGATTTTCAACCAAAAAGATCAAATTTGCCTTTGTGAAACATCCACTCATGCCAGCCTCACATCTTGCATGCACAATGCAAAGACTTCTACATATCTTATTTTTGAATTCTGGAAAAAAAAATTGAGTTTGGCAATGCCAGAATATTGCAAAAAAAAAAGAGTAAACAAAAAACGAGTGCTGGCATGACGAAAGCCAAATAAACGAGAAGTCAGCAGCGTAGCACTGTGAGCTAGCACAGCTATATCTGCCGTGCTTTTCTTTCAGCATCTGCTCCGTGGCTGGCAGCCTGACATGTGCCATCCTGCCTGAATGGGACTTCTAAAGACACGGGGGGCCATGGAGAATCGAGACTCGGGGCCACGAATTCCATTCCCCTCCACACAAAGACGAGCCACATGTTAGCGCACCGTTTGAAAATAGACAAAGAACAGAGGCGGCGAAGTATCATAAAACGCCGAGGTGTCGGGGCCAATCTAATGCCTATTGATTTTAATGCATCTTCAGCCAGAAATCATTTTCTGCAGCATAATGGATGGAGGGGTGGAAAAAATGAGTGCTGAGAGCCTGGTTTAGAAGCGATTAAAGGATCTGAGTGGAATGGAGGCATGCACACAAACACTGTGCACACACTGAGTGTTAGTCATGTCCTTTTGCAGAGAGACAGAAAGTGGGAACCAGACTTAAAAAAAACAAAACAAAACAAAAACAAAACTACACAATTTAGACATTCTGACAAAAGATTTACAGGTTTGGTTTCAACTAAAAACTGATTGATATCCAGTAGCAGAGGTGGTCTGGGGTTTTAGAAGAAAATGTGGTGATTGGTACATCGTTGCTACATTAGGTTTCTAAATCAGGGTTTGTGCAGGTTTCACAAGCTCAAATTTATGACTTTTTAGACTTTTTTAAGACTATTATGATTGAAATTTAAGACCTGTGCCCTGACAGAAATTTACAGAAGAAAATCACATATTTTACCATGCTCTCTAGGCTTTTAACCCCCATTGTGCCACATATTGTTGCATCTAGTTTTGGCATCCAACTTGGAGATGCCAAGTCTTTTTGCCTATGCTAGCTACGTAGCATGGGCAAAACCCCCCAAAAAAACATGCTACCTACCTAGCAAGGATATATTAACAACTAGTTAGTAGTAGCCTTAGTGAGTCACAGATGATGTTGATGAGCAACTCAAACTTTTGTTTGCAAGGAAAACAAACAAACAAAAAAAAACACTACATAGAATATATGTCATTAAAAAGTCCTGTAACGACAAAATTTAAGACCTGTGATTAATGTATTTAAGGTCAACTTACACATTTTAAAAATGAATTTAAGATACTTATAGGCCTTTATATTAGATACATCAATAAAGACTTTTTTTAGGATGCCAGTCACCCTGTCACATTTTGTATTTAGTTTCCAAGTTTAATTTTATTATTTATCAAAAAATGTCTGTATGTTAACGTACCTAACTTTTTAACATTTTGAATCAGATTTATGCCTGCTGATTCCCATAAGAAATGCAACTGAGGAACACAGGAGAGCTGTGTTGACAGACTTAGTACAGTCGGTGGGGGAAGCCTTAATAAAACAGAAATAGCTCTAACGTAGATCCTTCCCATAACTCTTAGATATTTACCAGGCTGTCAAAAGGAGTTTGAAAGCTAAGTGGTGCCGATAACAGACCTTTGTTAAACTTTTGTTTGTTTGCCCTTTTTATAATCTGCTCAAAGTCTTGCTCTCTCTTGCGGCCTGAATGAACCACATAAATGTCTCAACGTACAAAATACGTTGTTCTCTTAAACAATAACTGTAGCATGTTACATCTCTATGCGTCTTCATTTGAAATAACTCAAAACTGAAAATTGTTCCGTTTTAGTTGTTTTAAAACCTGACAATGCATAGCTTGGTGCATCAATTTCTCTGTGCATGTGTAACTCTGTTAATTTGGTAGATATTTAACAACTAAATTGATTTATTTAATGGATCATAGCTACATTAGACGACAAAGGCATTGAATCAGAGCCACAGCTACTGAGGATATGCTTTGAAGGCAAAGGGTTTGAATCCCTTTTCGTTGCGTGTTAATGAGCTCTTGTACAGTGCAAAGTTGCATGCTGACGTCTGATCATTTTTCTTATAGGGAACAGTCTGTGCTTATAAACATTCCCTCGTAAGGGAGGGAGCGTGCTAGAATTATGTGTGCAGAGTGGGAGGGTACCTCGCTTTAATTCGCTTACCTGGATCTCGATGTTTGCTCTGCGAAAACACAAGAACACAAACACAACTCAGAACAAAGCAGCCTCACATGTTGATTCTCATCTCAAGCACACAGCATAGCGCACAACATCAGATCAATTTTTCATTTGCCCTAAAAACCGGGATCAAAATCTTTAGCTGGGGTGTACAAGTCGAACACAAGTTATTAATATTTAAAAAGCTGGCCTGCTCTTACCCACAGGCCAACGTAGCAATTCTGCAACATGAACTGCTGCAGAAAAAGAGTCGCAGAGAGCAAAGCATCTTTATTCATCCAGTAAAGCTCACACTTTTGCATACTTCTCGTGTGCACAGGTTTTCTATTTTTTACTTATTTTTTTTTTACTTTTTCTCCTTTCCAGTTTCATAGGAGTTAAAGTGAGAATCAAACGCTTCTCATTAGCGCAGCAGCTGACAGCAGGAAAGCCGAGTCTGATTTGCAGCACGGAGCAAGTTGAAAACGTTGTAAAGGTAAAAACATACAGCAGTTTCACGAGCAGCAACTCGGGTTAAAGCTACAGAAAACACTCAATTTCCTGGCGTCGGGTATTGCTGCAGTAACTGAAGTCAATTGGAGTCTCCTTGGCAAATAGCTGCAGAGGAGAGCAGCCTTCAAAGCTTTGCAGACACACACACAAACACAAGCGCACATTCGCAGATCAGCATGGACACACACACACACACACACACACGCACACACACACACACACACACACACACACAAAGCTCACCTGAGTTCTGACGGAGCCGGAATCTGAAAGAAGTTTGAGAACAGGCATAGTGAATGACGGGCTAGTGGGTGCACGCAAACACTTGCACACACTCATCGGTACAAGGCAACACTCCCTCATTAGTGGAAAAGGCGGACGCTCGCGTCTGACCGCGCTTCGCTTTGTTTTGCTGCGCTGCCGCTACCTGACAGCCGGGATAGAGGAGGTAACGAGGCAGAGGGAGGCGGGGAGGGGGGGGGGCAGACCTGTGGTTTTTGCTCCACCGCTTTCTTTCATTGGCTCCCTTAGGAACGGATTACCAACCTTCCTCCCCCGGACACACGCAACTGCGTTCAGCACACACACACACGCACGCACGCACACCTGAGCCAACAGAGCAATTACACAAACACACATGCATACCTGCACAGGAGACACACGCCAGCTGGCGGAGCGCCACAAATCTGAGTGCTACTTTTAGCGCCAGCGTGCACGCCTCCCTCAGCAGGCCTGTTGTTCCCTAAGCTTGAACCTTGACCTGCTGTGCAGACAAGCAGCACTGGAGCTAATAAGAAAGATAAAGGCAGCAAAAAAAAAAAAAAAAAACCTTATCGTTCGGTGACACAAACAAGCCAATGTAGGCTTTTAACGCTGTGTTGTTTGGCTCTGCGTGACGCGACGCCCCGCTGTCTAATCTGTGCCACACGGTGAAATAATCCCGAGGCCAACAAGCAAAAATAGGCAACCAATCAAATCAAATTCTGGGCAAATTTGCAGGTACAGGAAAGTGTGCTGCAAATGCATTCGTGCTTCTTGGACTTTTTTTTGTTGTTGTTGCATTTTGTCACTTTACAGCCACATTACTGAAGAGTGTTTCATTGGGTTTTGATGTGGTAGAGAGCCTCTGTGAAAAGCAAAAAAAAAACAAAAAAAAAAAAAACAGCTGCCACAGATTCTGGACTAGATTTAAGCGTTTCTTTGACTGGGCCATTTCAACAAATGGACATTATTTGATCTAAGCCCTTCCTCTGGCTGAATGCTTTTATTGTCCTGCAGCCTCTAACATGTCTTCCTCCAGGACTGTCCAGCTTCACCCGTCTTCCCGTTAACTCTGACCAGCTTCAGATAAATAGACCCCCAGCATTATGCTGCCACCACCTTGTTTCACATATCAGTCCGTAGCATTTTGCCTGCAGGCTAAATGTGGGGCGGATCAATCCAAAATGACGATAACATCGATACCAAGTCGGTATCAGAATCGAATCGATACTAGAGTGGTAAGATCAATACTTTAGAGGGTAAATTCAAACAAGCGTCTCGGCGCCCTCTGACCGACGGCGTCACCCCAATCTCCTCCGTCCGGCAAACCAGGTCCACCTAGGTGGACCTGAAAGCGCCGGTAATGCTTCTGCGTCTTAATGGATGCCAGGTCCAACAGGAGGTGGCGGTTTCCTAGGGGAACCCAAACGCGCGGAGGTGAAGAGTGCGACGAGCTGCATCACCGTCGCACTACAAGGGTTCAGCCCAAGTGCAAAAAAAAAAAAAAACATGTCGCAAAAACACAACTGGGCACTTTAAGGAGCTAAAAATAAATAAATAAAATAGTTTCAGTTTTCAGCTCTTCCTGTCACAGACATGCCGCCTCACGTAAAAACTGGCTCGGCGGACATGCTAAGCTGGTTTCTGAAGGCCTGTTTTTCTCTTTGGTTTTTCTCTGAAGTTCCCTCCACGTCGCACAAAGCTGTCATTGTGCCTGCACAGGGAGCTGAGTGACAGACACGCAGGGACGTAATGAAAAGTTTTAGAAAACTCCTCTGTAAAAGTATTGTTAGGCATCGGGAGCTATGCAGCGACAGAGAGTGACGTTCCCTTTAACAAACACACACACACACAAAAACACCTAGGGAAGCAGAGAAGCTGCAGAATAAATATCTATGTTACACGCCAAAAAAATAAATAAAAGATAAAATATTTGGACCTTAGTTTCGGGAAAAAAAAGAGGCAGGTATAAAGTTCTTAACTTTTCTTTTATTTTCACACTACAGTTTTATGTGGAACGTGTTACAGCTCTCGTGTTCTGCAATAAAAGTGCACTTCAAGTTATAAAATTCAGTTTAAGGGGCTCCCCAGAAAGTAAGCAGGGATGTGAGAGGACGACTTACCTGTTTTTCCGCAGCAGCCAAAGCGTCCCAGGCATTCTTTATGGGCACCTAAGCCACACTTGGAGCACAGGTAGCCCTGGTAAAAGACCCCCCTGCAGAGACAGGAGAGCAGCAGCAGATGATCAAGCAGAAAGAGTAAACAGCTTTCAGCACACTTAGGCAGGAGGGTGGGTGTAAGATTTAGCACCGTGCCGCACTCTGTCAGGTTTAAGGAGACGGGCTGTGAAACAGCCTGGAAAGTTAATTCCTCTTGTTAGAGGTGCAGCACTGAGCTCGGTTAGCTCACCGCGCCGCTCCAGCCGGTGCCGTTCTTGGACTGCGATTGAGCCGTCAGGTAGATTTCCTCGGGATAAAACTCAAATTCTCACGTTTATTTTACTTTTTTTTATTTTTATTTTATTTTTTGTTGTCGTTTGTTTTCAGGCAAATATGAATCTTGAGAGTGTGCGGATTCAGCTTCTGAGTTTATAAAACCGCATTTAGCCGGAAAAGAACTACTGCAAGCGTGGAATGTTGTTGTGCAAAAACACAAAATCTCACCAAGTATTTTCTGTAAAACACTTGGAAATAATAATACAAAAAAACATTTACAAGTAACTTTTTAGCAAGATATAAACTTTTTGTAAGTCAATAATCCTTTAATAGTGATTTAAAAAGTACTAATTGTTATAAAGCTGACATTTTTCCGATTTTAAAACTAAGAAAATTTGCGAGTGGAACAAGTATTTTATCAATAATAAGGAATTATTGACTTTACATAAGCTCCTCTTGCTCAAAAGTTGCTTGTAAGTTACTTTTGTTTTATTTCAAGTGGAATAAAACATTTACACTAGAAACAAGACCTAAAAAGATTTTATGTTTTTGCAGTGCAAACCCTGCGTTAAGGTTTGTTCACTAATCTTCCCCAACAGACCTCTGAAGCTTTCACGCATTAGTTAGCACCGTTAGACCTTCGGAATGAAAACAGTGCAATGAACCCGTTTTGTTTTGCATAACAACTCCAGAAGCCCCCTAATAAATGACAAAAAGTAAGTCCTGCGCTCTGGCTAATTATCCATTTAATCTCTCTAAAGGAAAAGTTTAAATCGTTATCTTTGAGCTGGTGCTTTGGAACAAAAAAGAACATGGCTCATGTGTTAAATTACGATGTTTTGCTCCATCCGACCTTAATAAAGCACCGATTCTGGCCCCCGGTGATCCTCGGAAGCTTGCGAACTCAAATATTTGTCGTTTTTACTTCCTATAGAAAGCTTTAATGGCTCGATGGTTTCGTGAAATTGCTCCTAATATTGTGTGGAAGTCAAGTTTATTTGTATAGCACATCTCAACAACAAGGCAGTCTCCGATTGTGAAACAAGCAAACATTACATTTCGTCAAATGCCATCGTCAAGATCATCAATACACATTCCCTTATTTCATGAAATAAGGGAATGTGTATTGATCAGTTATAGAAATCACAGCCTGGAAAACGTTCTTGAGTGTCAAATTGTGCTTCTGTTCTGGATGCAGCTGCTAACTAGTTATGCTGCCAACTTCCTCCATAAATATTTCCCTATAAGAAGAACAAATTATTTTCTTTCTGCCTTCAGCTCCGTGTCTTTTCTGGAAGAAGGAACTAGTACTGCCAAAAAAAAAAAAAAAGACTACTCTACATCGATTTATTTTTCATAAAAGAAACTTGGTAACACTTTATTTGAAGGGGTGTGCATAAGACTGACATGACACCGTCATAAACGTGACAAGGCCTGTTATGAACACGAAGGAGTCTTTATGAATGTCGTCATGAAGTGTCACTCGGTAAACAATGGCACTTTTAATGCAAAGTTGCTCAAACAGTTGCATTAAAAGTCCATTAAAAACGTCAGCTTTGCATTATTTGGTAAATAATTGCACTGTCAATGCAAAGTTGACACTTTTAATGGACTTTTAATGCAAGGTTTCAACGGAAAATTTGCACTGAAAGTGTCATTATTTACCGAGCAGTCAGAAGCATTCATGAAGACTCCTTCATGGTCACACCAGGTGCTGTTATGACTGTCAGTCTTATGCACACCCCTTCTGTTACCAGATGCTTCTAATGTGACTCTTCTGTGATTATTTGACCCACTGCTGCCATTAAGTAATTTCCCCGTTTCTCAGCGTACATAGATAAAGTAATCTGGCATAACTAGAAGAAGATAGCTGGGTTTATATTTGTCACAAATGATATTTCTAGATTAACATAATGTCATTTTTTTCTTAATAAAATGGAATGCCAGTATAAATTTGACTAATTGGCACTTCATGATGACAATCACATCTTGCAACTAAACTGCATTATTTGTATCGATATGAATGAAACTGATTTCAAATTGATTACTATAAATTTTAATATGAGCTGGAGAGGCTCGACTTGCATTGTGCCTTGAGGTGAGATTTGTGAATTTTTAAGAATCATTCAAACTGAATTACCGCAAGCTTAAATCCACAGGAAAATGTTCTTCTTCTTGTCCAGGCGTTACATTTAAAATCAGCCTGATGCTCTAATGAGTCGTGATCCAAATCTGGGTTGGAACTCACAAAACTCAACCTAACGTTTCCCTCAGATTATTCATTCAAGTCAGGTGGTGAAACCAGAGCTCTACTGAACTTTTCCTGCAGTGTAGCATGTCGGTAAATATCGTCAAGGTTTCTGTACCCTTTTCTTTGAACCACAACACATATTCTACTAGGGAATAATCTTTCTACTGCCCAACTTTCTACCCAAAACAAATAAGAGCAAAAGTGTGACTCGAGCCTGTCCTAAGAGCCTCTAAAGCAGATTTAAGAGAGGCTCCGTCTGAAGAGGTTAGTGAATATTAAATCAGCTGTCGAAACAATAACTCTGAATTTTGTAATGTGGGTGGGGAATTCAGATGAACGCAGCAATAAAACACCGGAGGGAAGACTGCTACGCATGGTGCTCTTTGCAAGAGAGTTCATAAGCCTCGATTGTTTTCACATTTTGTCACGTTGCAACCTCATTTAGACCGACATATATTTGTGCATCATTGTTAAGTGAAAGGAAACTGAAATTAATTAAATAAATTCATTTTCTTCAAAATTACACACACACACACACAAAAACAAACAATAATAAGTAAAGTTGGGACCAGTCTGCACACATCAATAGCCAGTTTCTATTCCCCCCCAATAACCCCCCTTTGTCCCCTCAGCATGATGCTGCTACTACCATATTTCAATTCAGATTCAATTCAGTCAAGTACTTTATCCATCCAAAATTGAAGTCAAATGTTGTAACTCATATCGTCTAAGTATCTTTGAAGAATTGTTGCAGATGGCGATGATGTGGACAGGAAGGATCTCTGGTAGCAGTCGGTCTCGCAACCAGTCTGAAGAGACCTCTGACTGAAGACTGTTGCTGTGTTTGTAGTCTGACATGCCAACAGCTGAATGTCCAGAGAGCAGAGACAATATTTCGACAGTGACATCTCTCAATTATTGGGAAAACTCTGCTAATCCACCTCATTTGCTTTTGCTGTCCCTCCTTAAATCGGTGTCTGGGCATAGAGTTAGAAAGAAGGGCAACTTTGGAGTCTGAGATGTGATTCTTGCCTATTATAATAAATGGAAAAGATGGTTTCTTCAGCTCTGCACCCTTTAAGTCTCTATTTTAACTCCTCTGGTATTTGGGGTCGTACTTTGCGTATCACTTCAGCTTTTAAGATGCTAATCAGCTGCTCCCAGTTGGAAAAACAACACCTTGTTGCCATGGGTTACACACCATAACAGTTGCTCAAAAGTAAAAAAGAAAGAGCAAAAATCCTTCAAGTTGCCCAGCATCCGAAACGAGAGAGAGAATAACTGTCCGACATGCAATTTCTCCACCAAAACCATTATGAAAAAACCGTCTACAAAAAGAACAAATCAGGATTACATTTACGCAACAGAGCTACTACGACATGCTGCCACCATGAGCAACGTGTTGATGTGCAATGCTGGTAGTCTGACACACACAGCGTTTTGACTAAAGGTTAACAAGCTCAACTTCATATCGTCACCTTCCTAAAATAATGGCCCAAGTCATTTGTTGCCAGAAAGGATTTTGGCAAAAAAATAAAATAAAATAAAATAAAATAAAAATCACCACCCCCTTCTTGCTAGTAGTTGATTTCAGCAAAACAAACAAAAAAAAAAAAAAAACCACTTTTGGCCAACAAAAACTTAGGCCATTATTGATTTTGAATGGAACATTACATGTTGATATCTAATCTAAATATATTCAACCCAATTAAGTGACAAGTGAGAAGCTAAATCTCTTCAAACTGATCCAAGCAGCTTTTTCAGATTTTTTATTTTTTTTTACCAGCTACTATGAAAAAAGAAATGGGAAAGAAAAGCTACAAGCACACCGAATAGAATAGAAAAGAAAAGAGCCTCTTTCCGTCGCCTCCCTCTCTGTTACAGAGCAATAATCTCGTCCCCATTCTCCATCCGTCGCCTTGAAGAAGTGCCGGAGTGTGACAGACATTTTTTCTCGCTGCCTGTCTTCTGTAGGTGAAACCACTCAGTCGTCCCTGCTGCGGGGAGAGACCGCCAGGCGCAGTCCTCTGGGTCGCCGATAGCATTCAGCGAGCTCAAAAGGAGTTCTGTATAAGCGAAGCCGAGGAAGGAGAGGGAGAGAAAGGCGAAGCGGCGAATGGATTGTTGGGGTACACTGGAGAGGAACAGGGGGGTTGGGGGGGGAGTCGAGGCCTTTTTTTGAAGGTCTTGTGTGACGGCGGTTTTAAAGCGTCTTTGTGTCTGACGATGTTTTGTGCCGCCCCGGCTTCGTCTCTTTTTTGGTGTGCATGCGTGTGAAGAGTGACGAGCCTCTTACCTCAGCAGCATGTGGCAAGAGTTGCAGGAGGTGATTCTCTCAAAGGTGTGCATCCGGAACTCGTGGAAATTGTTGGTTGCGTTCTCAGGACGGATGTTTGATCTAAGAAATAAAAGGAGCAAAGGCATAAACGTTAAACCTCTCATAAAACCAGCCCGCTTTAGGAAGGCTCAAATATATACATATATATATAAAAAAAAATGTAACTGAATGAACAAAAATAACTTTGTGCTTGTTAAGTCGGTTTGTTTCAGTGCTGCAAACTGTCAGGCTGCTGGATAAAGATGTCAAATTTGAAAGCAGAGAGCAACACTTTGTTTTTGTTTTTTTTTCTCCCCCTTTTACTTCTAATTGCGGCAGACAAACTCTTCCGCAGCTGCAGCAGCATTTCAACCGATACACTTCTTTGAAGTGGGAAGGGGAGGACTGCGAGTAGACAGGCGAGGTCTGCTCCCAAAATGAACACGAGAGGCTTCCTCCACCCCTGGGGACAAAGAAGCAACTGTGTCTGTGCAGCGTGCAGAAGGGATGAAGACAAACAAAGGCAGGAGAAAGAAAGAAAGAAAGAAAGAAAGAAAGAAAGAAAGAAAGAAAGAAAGAAAGAAAGAAAGAAAGAAAGAGAGTGAGTGAGTGAGAAAGAGAGTGAGTGAGAAAGAGAGGAAAGAAATGCCCAGGTTTTCATGAATAAGACTTTTTACAGTTCAGGTATCCAGGTATGATCTGACCGTCTTACATATGTGCAGCTGCTTTCCTGGAAGCTGGAAGAATTAGTCAATCTGACCTTTTGTGGAAAATAGGACGAATGTGGCAATGATGGAAAATGCTGTTGATCCACATAGTTGGCATTTTTACGACCAAATAAAGTTCTTTCAGCCGTCCTTTTTCTGTCAACTTGGCTTTTATTGCTCTGTGTAATGACACAGGTGCAACTAAACTTCAGAAACCAGCTGCCCCTTAAAAATGACCAACTGTCTTTTATAAAATGGCAAGATGTATTTGCGAAGTGCTATCCAGCTGTGATAACCTCATATTACTGCATTCAGAAGATGTATAGGCCAACACAGACGACACACAGGTTTTAATAAATCTCTTGAGATAGAAAATATTAAATTTACAACTGAAAACACTTTAGCAGTGATGTCAGTAAATTAAAAACTCAAATTAAGTTTTTTTTAATACAGACTTAATATGAGTTTGATTTAATATGAAGATTAATTATTAAGATGGAAAGGTTTTTTTTTTTTTTTTTTTTTTTTTTTCTCCGTTTCTCCTGCCCACAATCCAGTTTAATAGGTGGTGGCAATGCACCACCACAGATGGGCTGCCAGCCACCATAAAACAAACAAAGAAATACAACATGACGCCTCCTGAAGCCAGGATTTCAACTGAATGCTGGCAAGTAGCTCTGTGTTTAGTATTCAACATGGCTTCTAACGCAGGTGAAAGTGACTGGTGTCATTCGTAAGCTAGCATTTTTGATGGTTTGCATCTTATTAAGTTGTGTGCTGAAAAATGTCTGCATGTGGACATGAGTTTGAACACACAGGAAACATTGTTAGCTTGCGATGCTAATGGTAGTTAGCACCAACTTGGAACTAAAAGATGCTCAACAGAAGTTTGATTCCAGTTCCTGAGTTCAATAATAAAGATTATTTCTCAACAACGTTCAGTTAAAAAAGGATTTACTTTAAGGAAAGTACAAAGTAATTGTCGACAACATGAGAGAAATGTTACTACTAATGACAGCAAAGTTCGGTTTTTATTAGCACTGCGCTAAGAGTTGAGTTTGGACTGCACAGTTAATTTGGATAATTTGTTCAAACTCTAAAATTGATTTAATATGAAATCACTCAGATGATGAGAATAAATCAAGAACAAACACTTTAGTAAAATCTGGTAATATTCTTACACATTTTTAAACACAGTCTAAGTCTTGTAAAACATTTAAATTGGTCATTTTTTTCAGTACTGATAAAATATCTTCTTGTCAAGACAACACTGTGTCTTCTTCAAAGAAGAAATGTTAAACCGGTGTGATTTCTCTTTTGGAGAAATCCACGTATAATGTGACTAAAAGCTCCAAACGTCGACTGGTCTGAAAATGAAGAGCGTGAGAGAGAACATGTGATTGTTCTGCAACACCTCTCTGTTCCTGCAGCTTGTTAATTTAGCCTCACGAGCTAAATCATATAGCTCCCGCTTTCTCAGTCTCACATCAACACTTCAGCTTCTTCATCCTCACTTCCTCTAAGAGCTCTTCTTGTTACTTATAAAATGTTATTTCGCTCATTTTGTTTTCCTGTAACTATTTTGAATGCCAGTAGACCTGTTTCATGACTAGAAGTAGCAACAAGATAAATTAATAACACGTACCTCAGTTATCAGCAAGCACTAGGATTTTACCTTTAATTTTTCTTTTTCTGTTATTGTGAGGTTTAACCTCAGTAACATTATCAGATGGGTTAGAAACATCCATTTTTCCCCTGGCACTTCTATTTCTCCCAACAACTGTGTCAAAAGGATAGTCTGCTTTGTTATTGAATACAATAGAAGTGAATGGAAGCAGCTAAAAATCTTGCCCTCCATAATCATTTACAACAACTAATAAACCATCATGTACAGTTAGTTTTCTCACAACATGCAGCTAAAAAAGTCACTTCAAAGTAAGCCTAAATAACTAATTGCTGCTTTTAAAGGGAACGATTATTGATCTCATTAATTAGTGATGGGTGTCAGCAGACGTTAGGATTCCTTCATTTTTCTACGAACTTACAGCAGTGGAGCTGTTTCAAGTGCAAGTAAGGAAACTAATCAACACTTCTCAAAACCTTACTTTTAAACCCGTCTACTCTCCATTTAAAGTATGCAAGCAAATAATTAGCTACCCAAGCCTAAACAAGAGTTGGAGAGATAATGTTAATGACATCGGAAAAGAGCTAAACAAACACTGAAGGAAAGGAAATTTGGATCAACACCCGACAATCCCTTAAGTATTCACACCGAACAGAGACAAAGGAACAGTGAATATATATCAACTGCATTAACATGCTGTTCACCCAGACACAAATAATACTCCTACTCCTTTCTTTACATTCTGTCACGGGGACAATAATAGCGAAGGGGGGGATTGCAGTGCTTGTCAACAACAGATGGTGTAATCCTGGGAAAGTTACCGGCAAGGTGCATGTCTGCGCCTGGAATAATAAACTGTTGCCTGCTAGCAGTGTCTGTCAGTAGTATGTACAGACAAGGTTCACCTGTTACCTGAACATATGCAAGTGCAGGCTAATTCTGCTGCATTCGATCTGTAAGAAGTTAATGCCGTCGCTCAGGTTGGATTCATTTTAGAAAGAAAGCCTAAGAACCACGGATTGGGCTTTCCTTTGGAAAATGGAACAATGTGCTAAACTGGATCTGCCTCGGCTCTACAGCTGAACTGCAGATTATTGTTTCTTTCACCTATTGTTTACTTTTGGAATCAGCCACTTTCTGGATCCGGTCCAGGACAAGAACCGGTCGATGCAGTTCGACAACACGCGGCGAGAGATTCATCTGTCTGAATGCAATGTTCGGTATGAGCGTGTCTCCCGGCCGACTCCCCTCTGTGTCACTTTCATTTTTGTCATCCCTTAGTTACACGCGGACCAGAATAACAGGGTGAGCGACGTGTCGTGACGTGAGACCATCGCGTCGTTGCACTTGCACAGAAAAAGCACACTCACATGGCCATGCCGAACTGCTCCAGCCACTTCTTTTTCAGCTCTTTGGTCTTGAAGAAAAACTCAAAGCCGTTCTGGCCCTGGTTGTGAGTGAGGTAGAATCCGTAGGACCACTGCAACAGAAACAGACAAAAACAAACGTGTTTGAGACAGGAGATGAAACAATGGCAGGCAAAACACACTGAGGGAGAGGAGGCAGAAAAGACAGATGGGGACAAAGAGATGCAAAATGAAGGAGGGATGCCGTGGGGAGAGCAAGCACAAAGCCGGAGAAGGAGGAGAGCAAATGAAGCGATGCAGAGGAAGAGGGGGGAAAAAATGAGTGCGAGTTAACTGTGGCGCATCGCTGCTGGGTTTCAGACGGCACGCAAAGACCCAAGCAGCGAGCGGGTCTGCAATCGGCTGCAATTATCCACTTTAAAGGCTAAATATCCCATTAGCTTCCGTGCCGACTCGGGCTGTTCTGCGTTTCTAGGCGGCGTGGTAAAGTGGATGCTTTTGCGGGACGCGCTTCTTACGACTGCCTGTCGTGGTTTCAAACTCCTCGCACTCGGTTGTGAAGGTTAAGCCGGTGCGGGTTCACCGCGCGGTTAGAAAAGAGCAGCGGCGCATTTCCTCGAGCGGATGAATAGAGGAAAGGAAAAAGCGGCGCTCCACGCTGGCGGTCCCAGTGGACGCCGTGGCCTGTGCTGAGGGGTGAGAGTGTCTTCCTGCCAATTTATAAAAGGGGAGAAACAATGTTTGTTTTTTTTTCTTTTTTTTTATGAGAGCTGTTTTATCTTTTTTTGTTTTAAAGAGGTCTGCAGGCTGCTATTAAAATGCTATTAGCCTTCATTATAAAGTCATGGGAAGACTAAGTAAACACCAGGATTCAATAGCTCTTTTTTGCTGAGGAACACAGGATTGCTTCAGTTCCTTTCAAAGCTCTTCTGGTGCCACCACAGGATATCAATCAGGTTGAAGTGTGAACTTTGACTAGATCATCTCTACCTCGATTTGTTTCATAATCAGCCATTCTGTAATTTTCTGTACCGCGTGTGATGATCCTCTCATTTGTATGACAAAATATTGGACAAGCTTTAATGTAATGAGCAAATATATCACACGGTGCTGAAGGCCTCTGGCTATAAAATCCAGATAATCACTCCTCCACCACTGTGCTTGACAACTAGCATGAGTGATTTCAGGCGTGTGTGATTTTCTCCAACCGAAGCTTTAAATTACCTTATAATTTTCCCAGATTTATAAACAACGGCTGCTTGTATTATTAATGATGTTGTTTCTCCTTTCCATTTGTGTTATACCTTTATAGTGGAGATCATTAAACTCCCCAAAACTCCTACACTGTCTAAAAATGTATTAAAATCTATGTAAGTGGCGATGGAAGATATTATTCTCAAATCTTATTCATAAATCTAGACCATTTATGTTTTACTTGCTAATTGCTAGCTTGCGGCTATTGTTTATGTACATGTAAACTTTATTTTTGGATTTATTTTACCTCATAGGACAGACCAGGATTCATCAAAATATTTAGTTTTGAATATTAAAGCCAGAATGATCGTCTTTACATGGCTGAAGTTAGCTTAGATACAAATTAGCAACAATTTGGAGTCCTTTGCTAGTTTTGATAATGTTTAGCTAGTAGTTTTGCTAGCTTGATGGCAACCTACCAAGCATTCAGGCAATTAGGATAAAGCTGCTTGTTTGTAGTTTTTGTAATGAAAGAAATAAAAAGTAGCAATAGCAAGGAGTTAATAAGAAAGGTTTTAGCTTGATGTTTAGTTAGCTAGCTGTTGAAGAAAGGTGTTCAGGATGTTTGCAGCCGTTACTGTGACCCTCGACTACAAGCTAATTTAAATACTTCAAGACTGATACCGAATGAAGCTGATGCAGTAACTTTTAGAAAATTTTCAAATTCCTATCTTTATAAGTGAAAAATGTTCCAACACAAAGCATTTTTCTCTTTGCAATACTAAGTTGGGTCTCAAAACAGCCTCGGACACGTCCACTTGTTAAACTTGGATAATTAGAGCAAGAGTTTTCCAAGAAATGTCTCATTTATGCCGGCGAGTATGGACTAAAAACATTTTATAGACCAAACAAAACAGAAAATATTCCGCCCAAAAAGTCAGGAAACAAAGCGTTTTTTAAGTCAAAAATATCCAAGACTCCCAACCTACAATAATATATTTCTACTTTGTTTCATTTAAATATTTCTTACTAAAGTTATTGCTAAGCAAGAGAAATTACAATAAAATCATCTGTGTGGTTTTAATAGGAAAAAAAATATGACCCGATTACTTTTAACTTGGCGTCTTTGGCTGAACTAATGCTTGATCTGAAAGCATTTAAACATAATTTATATATATAAAAAAAGCTTATATTTTGTTGACGGTCCATGGCCTCTGAATACTTTATGCAAAACCGTTTTACCTCCAGATAATCTGCATACAAACATTGCTTTTATGATGGAGGTTCTCATTTCGCTACCTTCAAGCAGACGTGTTCATTTCAATCATGGCTAGCGCAAATATAGCACCAAAGAAAAGGCGTTACATTCTTCATGTCAGAGGTGAACGACGCTGAAACAGCTGCAACCTTCATAAATATAATCCTGCGAGCCCATATGGGCCTAAGCCCACTAATGTCTGCTATTACTGCGTCATTATTACCCAAATCAATGTTTCCTGGCACGCCTTAGATATCATTCTTCATTATGATTGGCAATATTTTCCCCCAGTTGGCACTTTGTATTCACTGTGTGTACAAGAGTAGTCAGGCCCAAAGCGAGGTTTAATGATAGCACCATCTGGGAGGAGGCAGGCTGTTCCAGTCTGACACTGTTTCAGAAGGATGCGGAGGGAAGAAAAAAAAATAATTAATAAGGGAATGTAAAACAAGAGTAGGAACAAGCATGTAGCAAATTATTTAGGACTGCTTTCTGTTAATTATTTTGTTGTTCCTGTTATGAGCCTGAAAGGTTTTTGCGTGTAGCTCATTTTCGGAGCACGCCGGGGGATTTACGGCGCAGAAGGCGGCAGCGGGGTAGAGAGAGACTGTTACAGGTGCTTATAAGACCCTATAAAGGAGCATGCTAAGTTCATTTTCATTCAGGTTTATGAACCTGGGTGTATCTGACAAATGGTTATGGTCGTTCATTACGCAGAAATAGCTCCGCTAATTGGTTTGTCAGGACTCCAACATGGTCTCCGAGCTTTGCTGACTCGGTCATAAAGAGGCAATAATGGGCCTGACGTCGCAGATCTCGCCTTCGTTAGAGCGGACGACTCGTTAGGCGGGGATTGTTTAATCCTTGTCATTTTTACGGCATGTTAATAGAGCAATTTTGTTATTATTTTATCTATTTTAAAAGCTAAACACTACAGTAAAACTGTAAAACGGACTACGGTCCTGCTGGGACAGCCTACCCGGCAAGAAGCTGTTTGGGAAATTTAATACCATCCAAAGCTCTTCAGTAAATCACAGCTAAAGTGGGAGAGAGAGCCTTCGTCAAGTACTGCAGTATAAAATTTAAAGCAAAGTCTCCCAGACATACGGTATTTTATATTCAATAACTTTTCACCAATACATCCATACAGAAGCATTTTTCATGATAATTAGGAACAATCGTACACATGCAAACTGCTCGTTTTCAAAAAAGTTACGTTTTTACGGTTTTGAAAGCTATCCAAAGAGAAAGTTGCAGAAAGATTCATCTTTCTGCCTTTGCCAAAGTGTAACTGATTTACCATCTTAGAGCTGGAATAAGTTTTCTCATCACCATGTTTTACTTTGGCAATAAGCAAAGAGAGAAAAACAACCTGCAATTGATTGACAGAAAGATTCCGAGCCAAATTGAAAAGTAGACGGACTTGTTTCAGAGCAGATTTATGACAATTGCCTACAGGGTCTTGGCAACGTGTTCACACCTCCTGAACCTTTTTCACATTTTGTCAACCACAAACTTTATTTGTAGGTTTTGGGCGCACTTATGTCCGTTTTGCACATCTAGAGTGACTCCCCCTCCCCATTCTTTTTTGCAAAATGCTCCAACTCAGTCAGATTGATTGGAATATGAACTTTAAAGGTAATTAGTTGCACAGGATTTGATTTAGAGGTATTTCAGTATTTGGTGCTGAATACATATTAACAGCCCCACTTTTCTGATTTTATTAGTAATATTGAAAGACATGGATCACTTTCCTTATGTTTTCCAACTCTGCGTTGCATTGGGTTGGTCTACAGATCCCAGTAAAATTAACTAAACTTTATGGTTGTAATGGGACAAAATGCAAATATGCTAGGGGTGTGAATACTTTTAGTAGGCTCTGTGTGCAGGTTAGAGAGCTGCAAACCTTGCAGTGATGCAACATGCGTTACATCTAATATGAGAGGCAAAACAAACTCTCAGTATGAATGCTGTGCAGCAAATCGGGTATCATTTCTCGAACTTTCATGACGTTCTAAGACAGCAGTTTGAACCATTGCGTCTTCGGGACCCGGACCTTCCTGTTCTCCTTGTCGGATGTCGGGTTGTTGGTGATCTTGAAGAGGTGCAGGTCGATCACTTCTTTCATCTCGTAGTTGTCCCCTCGGCGCTTGCAAACGATCACGGCAGCGTCGAACAGGAAGATGTGCCTGCGGAGGGGATCGAAGCAACAACTGAATGAAAATCTGTTTTCTCTTGAGTCAGACTTGCATAAACTCTGTGGTTACTTTACAAAAAAAAAAAAAAAAAAATCACCCCCTACAGTTCGTCTTGCATAATACAGCCGATTGTATCCCTGGAGCTTACAGAGTGGGAGGAAGATTCCCTTAATGACATTCATTTGCTACGCTGCAGTTCACCCAATTACATCATTTAGCGGGGGAATAACAGGTTTGCCTTCATCGACACTTCGTCCTGAGCTTCTGCGTTCTCTGGAAGGCTTCCAGCGCATCGCCCCTCCTTCTATCTGGATTCGCTCGACGTCCTACCTGTCCTGCTTTGCTCGTTTGTCCACTGAGGTCACCCGCACCTCCCCGTCGCCTTTGGGTCTCCCGTAGTTGCTCAGAGGTTGGTTCTGGGGGAAGCAGATAAAGAGAGAGACGGATCACTTTTCGACTGGCGGTATAAACCCAGAGCACTAAATCACCGCCGTGGCTTTACGTGGACTTACCAGGTTTTCAATGGATCTCTGGTACTGCTCTATTTCTCGCAACGTCTCATTGTCCCGTTTGACTTCATTGACGTACTGTGCCAAATCCTGCACACACACATCAAAACGGCGATGAGTGTACTTCAACTTTAGTGCACAAGGAAAAGTTTGGAAAGTTGCGTGGAGGATTTAATGTTCGTACGTTTTTCCCCACAGTAAAAGTTTTCAAACTTTTCCAGCACCAAACTTTGGAGATAAAAACAATGCAAGGAACAAAAGAAGAGTTTCAATTCACTGTCATATGACATCACTTTTTTTTGTTTTAACAGAGTTGGGTAGTAACTAGTTACATTTTCTCATTTACATTTACTTGAGTAACAAATTTTGGAAAAAGAGACTTCTACGAGTATTTTTACTGTCCTGCACTTTTTACTCTTATTGAGTAAAATTTCTGGATACTGCACCCACTTTACCGAAAGAACAAGCTTGTTTTAACTAAAGAGTCACCAGTTTTTGTTAGTTTTGTATTAAAATAAACTTGTCTTTTACTTTTATTTGAATAAAAATATGTAAAGTACTACTCTACCACTTGTGTTTATTACTGTTACTAATAATGTCTTGTATGAGTATTCTAACAAGATGGGACAACGTAAACTTAAAATATCATAACATTTTATGTTTTGAAAATGTGTGTTAAGCTAAATTACCTTCCTGCTTGAATTATTTGATTAAACATCATATATATGACCACTAGACTTTCTGCAGGGAGTCTTTTCTACTCCAACTTTCATATAAAACTGCAGATAGAATATCAAGCACTTTCAAGGCCTTTATACAGAAATCAAGCACTTTCCAAACCTTGAAAACGCATTATTGAAATTCATGCAGTTTCAAAGATACTCAATTAGTATTTCCCGCTCTTGCAGCTTTTGCATGTTCACATTTTGTCAGATTGCAGCCACAAAATCTTTATGCATTTTACTGGGATTTATGTGAACAGATCAACATCAGGTTGATGCATAAAGGCTCTAAATGTGTAAAGTTGGTGGGTAACGTTTTTCACAGCTTCAAAGGTTGAATACTTTATCAACACTTAAAAAAAAACATTGTCCATTAATTCATTAAGTGGCTTTAGTAACAAAACTTCTATATTCTCAGCAAATGTTGGGACAGGACTGTAGGAATACCTTCATCGCATCCAGCGCTGTCCGTAGATTACTTTTTTCAGAGGCGTCATGGGTGTGTTTTACCAGTTCCTGTTGAACAAAGCAAAAAAAAAAAAAAAAAAAAAAAAAAAAAAAAAATCACACACAGAAAAGAACAAAAAAATCATGAAGGCGAATAAAAGATAGCGTACACAAAAACATTGATAAAGAGTCAGTACATGAAAACTTAAGGTTTCTGCTCTGGAAAGAAAATGAAAAAAGTCAGCCTGGTCCTAAAATAAATTAGATACAGTGTGTGTGCGTGTGTGTGTGTGTTTGCACACATCCATAGGAGGCTGTGTGGATGCGCATCACTTTATATCTGAAATTATTTGCCAGTGCGGCAGCACTGCGTAAACAAGACATCTAGACCTCGGCAGTGAAGGATAAGGACAGATGTCATGCATGCATGAGGCCACACTGAGGGAGATACAGTGTATGTGTGTGTGTGTGTGTTTGTCCTGCCCTGGCGTTTCTCAAATCCCCGGTGTCAGTCAAGCTCAACCTGGGCATTATTATCACGAGCAAGGCGACAGAGGCCTATTTATCAAGCCTGTGCTCCGACCTCCCCGCATCCACAGAGATACAGAGGCTGGGAGTGGCTCTGCTGATAGTGGGCGGCCAAACATGGTGGACTTATTGAGGGAATTCAAACAGGGGAGAGGAGAAAGGATGAGCGCGGGGCGAGCTAATCGCTGATGACAAAAAAAAAAAAAAAAAAAGGGGGAAGAAAAAAAAAAAAAAAAAAAGGAGGGGGGGGGGGGGGGAAAGGGGGGGGGGAGGGGG